TTGGCGGTAGCGCTTGTGCTACGAGGGCTGAAACCAGTACCGGACTTTCTGAAAGATCGACATGTCCTACTGCAGTTGTCTGAGTCTATTGAGAACAAAGAACTCTCAGAGTCTGTAAGAAACTCGTTAGAAACTGAGTCTCTGGTGGTTTGATTTGACAATGCTCTGCCGAGCACTCGTTTGAGCTTCCTTCGGTGAAGGCGGTTTGTGACCTCAAGACTGTCCATGGTCTGCTCAAGGGCCTCCTTCGTTATAAAAGTCAAGAATGCCCCATTGACGTGACTGCCCTCAATAGCTTCAGCATAGGGCCCATACTTTTCTCCAACGTTTTTCACGTATTTAGCTACATCAGCTGTAGATAATTCTCCAAGAGGGGTGTCTTTCGGTACTGAATTCTTGGCGCCCATTCCGAACAATGCAAGTTGGAATGCTGTGGCTTTGGCTTTGCTAAATTTCTACAAAAGAGGAAATGAAAGTTTATGAGGAGACACCACCAACTAGCTAGCCCTTCCGTAGATAAATTCCCTACTCTAACCCCCCCCCCCCATCCAACTAGCTAGCTAGCCCTTACATTTTGGGAGGTCCGAACGAAACTGCGAGACGGACCCAAGGCAGATTGTGTACGAGTGGTAGGTAGCTATTAATACCGGCTAGCTAGCCGGTATGTTCACGTTGATGACGTGCAACTCCTTGGTTTGAAGGTTCTCATTGAGCACTCTGAGTTTAAAGTAGTCTAGCTAGCTAGCTAGACCTAGTAGCTAGCTTTGCATAGTAGTCATTTATTATTTCGAAATGAGTGTCATCGTCTCGTCACTGGTACATGTTTGGTGATGGTGGTTCCAAGCATAGCACCCAGATCTCAGCCTCGTACTGCCGTACTCTGGGCAAATCTCTTTACCCCACCTGTGTAGCCTGCCAAACAGTCTTTGGTGCAGGTGAAGTTTTGCCTCCCAGAAATGTACTTTTCTGTTTCGCCAGCGGGAATGCGAGGATCATGCAAACTAAACTGTACTCGTCCTGGTAGCTATCTGCTAGATATCATCCAGGAGGCTTCCTTCACTCATTACTTAGTCTAGTCTAGTCTATCGTTTAGTCTTGGCTTTTTACATCCACTCCGGAGCAGTGGCTCCTCCTCATTTCACTGTTGATGCTACGTAGTTTTAAGTACTAGAATGCTACGCAGAACCGAATAGTGGATGGCACTGCTCAGCAGTGTCACTGCGCAGCAGTGGAGTTCTCATCATTGTCGACACTGTGAGGGAGTAATTGTATCGACTTAGCCGTTGTTTACATTGCTGTTGTTGCCATTACCACTGTCGGCTTCGCTGCTATCATTGTTGTTGCCGCTACGTATCTCCTCGAACAGCCTTCTGATTTGGTTTTCATTATCTTCGAATTCACTCGCAGAGGGATAATGCCAGTCTTTGAGTCGCTTCCCAGTCACACGCCAATCATCTCTAGCCAAGCCCATGCTTGCGCTGTTGTGGTAATGGAGAAAGCAGGACAGTTGGCCATTGCCAATGTCTTTTTGTGGGTGTTTGTGCATTGGTTTGGCACACAATTCACAGTATTGATAGGATGCTTTACCACAGAAGACGCAGTTCAGTTTCTTTTTGTTGGCCATGGTATTGCAGCTCTGGAAATGGTTGAGGAGCGGAGTGACAAATCCACACAAACGATCCGAATAGTTGTTGTCTGAGAGGGTTTCCGCGCTGACACCAGAGGCTGTTGTTAGATTGTCGTCTTGGTGCACCTGTTTGCGCGGTGGAGTTTTTGAGCGAGGTCTTTTTGCTTTGCTGATTGATGTGGTATCGCGCATCTTTTCATCTCCAAGATAATGGCAGTTCCGTGGGGCATATTGAAGCATTTGACGGGCAAGCTTTTCACGGAAGAGATAAAAGGAAACAGGCTTGTTAATTCGACAATCAGCCAAGCCATCAAGTCCTCCTTCGCATGCCTCCAAATAGATATCATATGCAACAACAACCGCCATTGCCTTGGCATGTATCATTGGAGAGTGCCAATACTTCCAACATCTGGTGAGAGGAGATAAATCGCGTTAGAAATGGGAGAACAGATAACAACAAAGAAGAAATACTGACCGGTAGCCCATGTTGCAATTTTGAATCAGATGATCTAGCTTGTCGACACCACCATACGTTTTCAAATAGAGTTGTCTTGACTCGTTCATTTCGATGCACCACCGGTGTTTATTTCTGCCTCTGCCTCTTTCCTTTTGTGCAACGTAGAGATCCAAGGAGTTAATGGCATTGACAGAGGCAAGGTTGCATGAACTGGTTGACTGGAAAGAGGTGATTTGCATGAGCGAGTCAGCGTGGGGCTTAATCGCAAAGATGGGCTTTTCATATCGTGCCGCTCGAGGTCTTGGACCGCCATCAGTCTTCTCCTTACACCAATACTTGCTGTCAACACCTTTTGGTAGACGATCACGTCTGCAGGTCATTGTCAATCCAAAGCCTTCTGTGGCCGCATACTGCATAATGGAATCGCCAGAGAAGAAGTTGTCCCAAGTGAAGTGTGGTTGTGAGGAGAAGAGAATGGGTTTGCGCTGTTCCTCTTGTTGTTCTCCTTCCACGCTGTCATCGTCATCGTCGGCTTGAATCAAAGGCTTCAGTTTCTCATAAATCATTCGAACTTCGCTGGGACCCTTTTGTGCGAAAGGAAATTCGTGGATTTTGTGGCGATGAACATAAGCCCTTGGTCTGATGCGGTCAACATCAACAACAAGAACTGTATGTCCTCCTCGAGAAATTCCTGGCTTCCCCAACACTTGGCCAAGCACACCGCTGCCTGCTTCGCCATAACCTTGGTGGGGCCATGAGGTTTCATCTCCACAAAGATCAAGTCCAGCTTTCTTGCTGATGGCATTGACGTTGTTGCAAATGCACCTGTAGATCATGTCGTATTTGTAGCATGGGTCATAGTCACGGTCAGTTCTCTTCGCTGCGCGCAAATTATTGCACAGCTTGTAAATCCGCTTGATCAACAACCATCTGGTTTTGCCCATGGCGGCGTTGATGAGTGGGCAGTACTGCGCATTGCCGTCTCTTCTGTCAAAGCGGCGGAGGATAGCACCATCGCTTCCCCCAAGGACACCATCTTGAATAACAGAGCCATCCCATCGCACTAACTCGGTAATGGACACAGGTCGGAAAGCGTGGAAGTAGCCAGTCCCCAGTTCAAGTTCGGTCACTGCATATCCATTGCTGAAAACAGAAACGTCTTTGTAAAATGACATGCGTGGATCGTTGTCGTTCCTTGATGTGTCACACAAAGGTAGAATAAGCTGATAAAAGAATAATGCATCTGGAGTTGCGTCATCTTCCTTCATCCGTTCCTTCGAAAGACCAAGTCTTGAAAGGATCTGGCCATCTAGTTTCCCTTTGCGACAGTCGGGGAACATGTTCTCTCTTGTTGCACCTGATCGGTGGGGCCTATGTGTTTCTGGTAACTTCCAACCATCGTAAAAGAACTCCCATCCGTCACAGACTCGCTTGAACTGGTGGTCGGGTGGAACAGGTGTAGCGCCAGTTGGCATTGCATGGTACAGATATTTCTTTTTCTTTGAATTGCCCCTACCAGTTGTACTGTACTTGGGACGGAATGTGAATTCACTCCACTTCCCAGGATTGTCAACATTTTCAAAGTCAGGCTCAGTGTTGACTTGCTTGTCGGCAGGTTTCCAGGTGGAAGGAGGCCCGGGTATCTTCCAAGTCGCGTGTGCACCAGGCAGCGTCATCTCTAGCTTGCCAAGTAAATCCATTTTCATTGGTTCGATGGATGAGGCAATTGCGGCAATCTCTTCTTCTAGGAAATCGGGCTTGCTTTTTTCTTGAGCTTCCAGATCCACCATCAACTCATTGGCAATCTCTCCTTCGTCGTCAGAATCAGTGTTGGGGCTCTTCTCCCGGCAGTCGCTGTCAAACTGTGCTTCGAATTCTTCAGCGGATACGTTTTCAGGAATTCCTTCTTGCGGAGTTGAGGATGGCATTGTTCTTGGTGTTGACGTTGGTGTTCTCAACTGGCTTGGTCTTGTTCTCCTGTTGCTGTTGCTGACATCTCGCAAAGGCGTCCTTGTTGCTGCGGTGGCCAATGCATGAAGTGCTGCTGGACCGTTGTTGCCTCCTCCACGATTTTGGCCGCTCCTCGACGAGCTACTTAGGCTTGACGCATGAGACCAAGGGGATCGATTTCCACCCACAACGGCAGGTGGATCATTGCCTCTAGTAACAGTAGGGGGGGCGACGGACTCTTCATCGTCGCTGTCAGAAGAGGATTGCATGTTACGGTGCCGGAATGGTGTCAACCGTCATTGTGAGGTATTTCGAAATCCTTGAAAGACGAAAAAGAATGAGACGCGCGTAGGCGAGTACCGGATTCCTACGCGCCCAAATCCACTGCGCGGCAGTCGATGAGCTACTTAGTTACTCTAGCTCAATACTAACATCCATCCATGAATATTACTACTATGAATAGACGTCCGGAGGGGCAACAGGGTATGCTTTGAGGCGGCAAGGAGTGGCGCGGAGCAGTTGTGCCTGTGTTAACAGATATTGAGTCTGCAAAGCTAGATTTACTGCCCCGCAGTGGATTCACGAGTCAGCCAAGACTAAACGATAAGTTTGATTGTTTCCCTTGATTGTAAAGTTCCGGCACCGGCAAGTAGAAGCTTCTCAATTAGGATTGCTTTTGTTGGTTATTTCAGTCAGTTGTCCATTATAGAACCCGAACCGCCACCCTCCGTACTTTCACAGTTTGCCACGGCGACTCGCCGTACGGCGGCCTTTCTGGTTCTAGAACAGTCCACAATCAACTTCATCGAGTGGCTTTTGCCTTGGTTGGCAAATGCAGCTACCAATCCCTGTCAAAACAGAAGGCCTAGAGAGACCAGCGGTACTACGTCTCGGATGCCTCCATGTTTTGGAAGGGAAGCAACCTAACTGGCAACCTTGTGCTCTCCACCACACGTAACCAAATGACTAAGTGCTTGCTCGAGCCATGTTTCTATAACCAGTACCAAGACAACTCAAGGCAACCGTCTTGGTTTCTTCGTCGGGTTTGACTTTGAACTCGACCCCAAAGGCTCGTTTGAACAATCGCAACGACTCGACCGTGTATTGTGTGAGTGTCCCCAAACGTATCCGTGACACATCCTCGGGTGTCACGCACATGAGAAGTAGGGCCGTAGATTGGCAGGTTGTATCGACGACTCCACCGCGTCGTACTTCCTCTAGCAACATGGCAGCCGCTCGTTTCCCCACATCTTCGGGTAGCTCTTGTTGTTTTCGAAAGCAAGTTTCGGCTGTCAGTACCATGCCATTGGTAGATTGGGCCGATAAGACCATGGAAAGTGCTGGACTGGGTCCACATTTAGTTTTTTTGATTGTGTGTACATCAGTAACTATCCAAATGTCGGGCAATAGTCTTTGCAACAATCCCTTTGCAGCATAAGCAGAACGGGTTGTCATGGAGGATGATACGATTTTACAGGAAATGGAAGATCCCCGGATACGTTTGACTTTGCCAGGATCCATGAGGTCAATCGGTTTAAGTTCTTTAATTCTGGGACAGAAGAATTCCACTGGGTAATGAGATCAGTGACACACATACGTGTAGTACCGGTATTGTTAGTTAGAACACTGATCCAAATTTTGTGACATCCACTAGTATCAACCAAATCAGCAGAGGAACTCACCTAAACCACCACCTAATGGAGCTGCTCCTCTCCTTGGAACCTTGATGTATGGCCCCGTTTGAGCCAACATGGGATCTTCAAAGTCGCTGACAATTCCCAGTCCAAAATGCTGGAGAAGAGGAACCGCCGAAGCTTGTAAATAGTCTGGCGAAGGATCCAAATCAGAGGTTCCATCGGTGATTCCCGTCAACTGGAGAGACAGCGATTCTTTTCCAAAGGGAGCCAAGGGTAGAATCCCCTCTAGAAACCAGCCGATGGAGCGTGCTGTGTTGTCGTCATTGTCATCATCATCACCATCACCCCCCACGGGACACGTGTGTTCCAGCCTGCCACCCAACAAAACTCCAGGTTTAAACCGTAGTTGGGTTCCTGTCGAATTAATTTCGATTTTGGTTCCATTGGTCATGGCATCCAACAACCGCAAGAAACTGGCTTCATATTCTCGCAACCCAGGAGACTCCAAATCGTTGGCTCGAATGTTTCGAATCAAAATGGGTTTGGTTGACAACAGACTCACAGCCAAGCGCTGTCGGAATTGGACGGCTCCATCCTCGAATATCAGTGTTTGGGATTGCTTCTTCATCTTCTTTGGGCTGTTGCTGCTCATGGTGGTGTTCTTGGTTTGCCTTTGTGAATTCGTTGGAATTTGATGAGCGTTTCTTTGGGGTTTGGAGTTCTTGGTTGGCTTGGATCGCACCATTGCGGTGAGACGGCCAGACACCGAAGTCTCATTTTTCTTTCCTTCAACGTACAGTACCAGTAACCGAGCAGTGGTACCGGTCTGTACTGTACGACTGGCTTGCTGCCGCTTCTCTGTTAGCTACATCACCTAAATGAACAAACGCGCTGAACTCGCTAACACGAGCCACCATGCCAATCTTCTCGTTCTCCGCTACCTGGTACCGGTACCGTAGCTGGCTAGGCTAGCTACATGCAGGTACCTTTTCAGTACCATTGCATCATAATACATACTCAGAGTAGTTATCTGTTCATCGAGTCCATTCGGATTTCAACCTAGCAAGTCAACCATGATGTTGTGGAATTTCAATATCCTGCTGTGTGTCAATGCTGCCATTCTCTTCATGTCAGCGGATGGTACCACTACCACCAATGAACCTCAACAGTATGCATTGCAAATCGTTGACTCGAATGTGGATTACATGAAACAGCATCGTCGGTTGGCTCCCATCAGCGGATATGTCCTATTTGGAGGAAATCTCATGGGAGATATCAATGGTGGAGAGTTTGGATACTCTGTGGCCACAGACCTGACAGGAACAACAATAGTGGTCCGTGAAGTGAACACTGACACTGTTCGTGTCTACAGGAACGCTGCCACCGGATGGGCCCAGAAAGGTCAAGACTTGACAGGTTTTCCTATCGGTGGCGCAATAAGTGGTAGTCAGACAGTTTCAATGTCAAGAGATGGCAGCATCGTTGCTGTTAGCTCTTCCACCAATAGAGCTGTTGCGGTGTTCCAATTCGACGAAACCACAGAGATGTGGTCGCAAAGAGGAGGTACAATTGAAGGTGTTGAGTTGGATGGATCAGCAATTGGTGGCTTTGGTGATGCCATTTCTCTGTCAGCGGATGGAGACAAAGTAGCAGTTGGGGCACCATTTTTTAATAGCCCAACTAACCTCGGCATTGGGTTTGCAACAACCTACTTTTGGGATGGCAATGACTGGGTTCGTGAGACATATTTTGCTGATGATTTAACTACCACTGTTTCTGGATTGTATGGAGAAGTTGCATTGGCAACTTTGGGGTGGTCTGTACCACTCTCTGGAGATGGAAGCTTATTTGCTGTAGGAATGCCAACATCTGGATCCTCTGAATCTGACTCCACAAGGTTTGGTGAATGCCGTGTTTACCGCAGTGATGGCAGCATCAATCACAATTTTGTTGAAGGTGGAGCGATGTTTGGGTCTGCTGTAGGTGACAATTTTGGCTATTCAGTGGCTCTAAACTACAACGGAAGCATCGTTGCAGTTGGTTCTCCTCGGTATGATTTGGTTGGTGGGGCTACAGAAGTAGGCAGGGTGCAAGTCTTTGAAAGATCTAGCGAAGCATGGAGACAATTGGGAAGGTAAGCATTGAGGACTGGTGGCATGTGCATGCCACTTTTTTTGGTGATTACTGACTCTGCCCCCTGTGACTTGTGATGCATACATGTCCATAGTGATCTCCTTGGGGAAGGACAAGATGATTCCTTTGGGTCCTCCATTGATTTATCCGATGATGGCACAACCCTTGTGGCTGGATCTGCAAATTTTTTCCTGGGCTCTACTTTGGGTGGTTACGCTCGCATCTACAAGTTTGATGGCACTGATTGGGTCCTTCAGGAGATCAGCAGGGCCCAAGGTTTTGATATTGATGGAATTAGGGAATTTGATGGGTTGGGACAGAGTGTTGCTGTTTCTGGAGATGGGACTAAAGTCCTTGTTGGAGCACCCTTGTATGATGACATTCCTTCAGCTCTGAATGATAATGGCCTTGTCCAAATGTGGGGGCAAACTGACTTTCCCACATTTTCACCTATCGTGAATCCTTTGCCTCAAGTTGGCAACCTGGGCACTGGAGGAAGCCCAACACAGACCAATTGTGTTAGTAGGGCATTCGCTTGGTGGCAGGGTGCAGTCGCCTATTTGGAAGGTTTTTTGTTGAATTGATGTGGTTTTGATTGAATGAGTGTCAATGTGTTTCAGCTGTATACTCAATTTGTCGCCGACCTCCGGAACCAGTGCACAGCTGCATGAACCCCCCATCCGTACCGGTGCGTACCGGTACGGCTGGGGAAATTGCTTTGGTTATGGTACTCTCGTCACCGAGAACAAAGTCTCAAATGGGCTGATGAGAGTGGATGCCCATGATAGGACGTGCCAAGAAGCTGCTGAATATGGACATTGGGATATCTTAAGATGCACCTGTGACATTTCAAGAGCGCCTCCTGACTAGTTGCTTGCATTGATAGTACCGGTGGGGCGTCCCACTGGCCATTTATCTGTTTTAAAAATACTACCAATGGTACTCTATTGTTCTACAGAAACAGCACTGCCAGCTGGTTCGGCAATGCTGTCATTGGACAAACTGGATTTAGACAGGCCATTTCGTCCTTTGGATTCATTGCCAGAGTTCCAACTATTTTCAGAAACATTGTTGTAGTAGTTGGAAGAATCCAATACATCCGGCAAGGGAGTCCCAACTGGCAAGTGGTTTTTGGACCCTCCGGCTCCTAGAATGACTCCCGCGTTCAACTCTTGCCAATTCTCCAACATGAGCAAATGGCCGGCATTTCGCACCGAGTAGACAGTAATATCCGGACTAGTAGTTGCATTGTTGCGACGACACTTGGCTTGCACCTTGAGGCCACCCTTGGGGTCCATCCAATCGTGGTCTCCGTAAAGAAAGGCAACAGAAGGAACGCGCAGGTCTGGGATGCGGTATTCCATGGGTCGTTTGGCGAATGCGCCCATTTCCAGAACCTTGTTGAGACAATGTTCTCCACTCCCGGGCAGCCTATTGTTGGCGACTAGAAATTCGGCAATGGCTTGTTGTTCCTGTGGATCGGAAATGGAGGGCATTCGTTTCTGAACATAGGTCAAAACCATGTTTTCCCCCCAGCTGGCCGGCATTTTGCGAAAGACGGAACCGGCCGAGGAGTATTGAAAGATGAAATAGGCCACCTCCGACAGTGCCCAGTACCTCCAGGAACTCTGTCTCTGGGCTTGTCGCCGTTGAATGACGGCCTCGTCTTCTTCGGGAACGCCCACTGGACTCAATAATATCAAGCGTTCCACTCGTTGCGGGTACTTTTCACAGTAGGCAATGCCCATGTATCCACCCATGGAATGTCCCGCCAGTATCATTTTGGGGATATTGTTAGCCTTTCGCCAGGCTTCCAAGGATTCGACAAAGAATTCTTCCGTGGCAAAAATCTCATCTTTACTGTCGCATAGTTGCAACTGAAAGTCGGGTCGAGAGGACATGCCCCATCCCAGCATGTCCAGGGAGTAGACTGTTTGAAAGAAATGCGTCAATCCGACCAGATTGCGGTAGAAATAGGCGGCAGCGTTCATGTACCCATGCAGTAAGACAAGTGGGGTCTCGGTCTTGTTGTTGATGTTTTCGTTCAGCTTGTCACTGCATTGAACCTTGACGGCATGAATATGGAGCTGTTCTTCTTCACCATTGCCTTGATGAGCCACTAATGGGACGACGGATCGCGGGAATTGCGTATCAAATGTTGAAATCTGGAACTCGTGTCCATGGCGACCGCCAAATTCCCGAGCCAATGTCAAGAGCTTTTCTTCGGCAGCTTTAATTCGATCCATTTTTGCCGCCACTTGAAGAGCGCTTGTCCAGAATAACATTGTTGTGAGCTGAGTTTAATTGAGTTTAGTTAGTTGAGATAGTCTACTGTACCGGTAGTTTCTTTTCCGTGAAGTAGTGTGAATGATTGTGAGATGATTGTGAGTTGTTCTTGTCGTCTCGTCGTCACTTTGTTACTTTTAAAAACGGCGTTAATTAATTAAGGGTGGTGGAAATGAGGAAAAAGAACAGCGTAGAAGTTTGCTCTGGCTCGCCTGGGAATCACGGCTCGGGTCTCGGGTCTTCGCACGAGCTGATTTTAAAAAAAGAGAGATCCCTATTCCCTAACCCTTTCTGCGTGACAACCGAATTTGATTTCTTTTCCAGTTGGCGATGAAAGACTATTATAATAATAAAGGACACCGGAGGTGTAATAGATATACCGGGCGAGCTGAATTAAAAGATGGGCCGGCATAGTAATATTGTTGCAGTTTGGCTGAAGGCAGTGTCATTAGATTTTTCCATCTGAGCAAGTGGTGTGGTAGCTTACGGGAGTTTAGAGGTGTGCAACATGAGACGTTGGATTTTCCGTCTTACGGGAGTTTAGAGGTGTGTAACGTGAGACGTTAGATTTTTCCATCTGAGAAAGAGGCGTGGTAGCTTACGGAAGTTTAGAGGTGTGCAACATGAGACGTTAGATTTTTCCGTCTGAGAAAGTGGTGTGGTAGCTTACGGGAGTTTAGAGTGTGCAACATGAGACGTTAGATTTTTCCTCTGAGAAGTGGCGTGGTAGCTTACGGGAGTTTAGAGGTGTGCAACGGAGACGTTAGATTTTTCCGTCTTACGGAAGTTTAGAGGTCTGTAACGTGAGATGTTAGATTTTTCCATCTGAGAAAGTGGCGTGGTAGCTTACGGAAGTTTAGAGGTGTGAAACGTGAGACGTTAGATTTTTCTGTCTGAGAACGAGGCATGGTAGCTTACAGGAGTTTAGAGGTGTGCAACGTGAGACGTTCGATTTTTCCGTCTGAGCAAGTGGCGTGGTAGCTTACGGGAGTTAGATGTGTGCAAATGTGAGGAAAATAATCAGGATCCGTTGCTATGATTATTAATTAAGAGAATGTGTAAGAAATTTGGGGGTGCAAGTTTGGCCAACGTTTTAGAAAACCTCTAACCCTAAGGATAACAACCAACCAAAACCAACCAAACCACCACCACAATAAGGACACCGGAGGTGTAATAAGTATACTGGACGAGCTGACTAAAAAAATGGGCCGGCATAGTAATATTGTTGAAGTTTGGCTGAAGGTAGTGTCATTAGATTTTTCCGTCTGAGAAAGTGGCGTAGTAGCTTACGGGAGTTTAGAGGTGTGCAACATGAGACGTTAGATTTTTCCGTCTGAGAAGTGGCGTGGTAGCTGACGGGAGTTTAGAGGTGTGCAACGTGAGACGTTAGATTTTTCCGTTTGAGAAAGTGGCGTGGTAGCTTACGGGAGTGTAGAGGTGTGCAACATGAGACGTTAGATTTTTCCGTCGGAGAAAGAGGCGTGGTAGCTTACGGGAGTTTTGAGGTGTGCAACCTGAGCCGTTAGATTTTTCCTTCCGAGAAAGTGGCGTGGTAGCTTACGGGAGTTTAGAGGTGTGCAAATGTGAGGAAAATATTCAGGATCCGTTGCTATAAAAGAGAATGTGTAAGAAATGTGGGGGCCCAAGAGGGGGCTTCATTTTTAGATAAACTCTAACCCTAAGGATAACCAACAACCAACCAAAACCAACCAACCACCACCACAATAATCGTATTCAGAGATCACCGGGTCTGCCCGGTATATTAAACAGGGTCAGAGATCACAAGGGTCTGCCCGGTACAAAAGGAGATGAGAGAGCACTCAATTGCCACTGGGCTGAGTGGAACCGCTAATCAGCAGCCATGAGCTACGACTCATTCTACAGGCACTTCGACGACGAGTCGAACAATGGACTAGTCTTTGCCTCTGATTTGAACGCGGTGGGGAATCTTCCATATTTCCACTTGACGGGTGCCGAGGTTGAGGAGCGTGATGCCTGGCGAAAAAAATCACAGGTATCCAAGCTCATTACTGAGCCAAAACTCCGCAGGTCAACACAGTCAAAGAGCTTTTGCAGCAGCGCCTCATGATCCCAAATTTAGGATCGTATGGTGTCAGCACGCGGTCCAAGGCAACGGAGGCCTGAAAATGTCGGAGGTACCCATCAAGTTTAAATGTCTGGAATGGCTTCAAGCAACGCACTTGTAGCGAATTACAAGCCTTCTGACGAGCCCCTGAATGAGGAAACAATGTCTAACATTTTTGCTTACATGTACTCAAGCTCCCGCGTCGATAGACGTCAGGCTTTTGGAGACGAAAAATCCGAGCAGAATTACTTGACTGATGTGTTGCACAAGTCGTTGGTGCTATCCGGTCTTGTGGGTGGCTTTACCGAGCATGGAGGAATAGGAAAACCCGATTCGCTCACGTTGAAGACCGAAGCCGACAGTGGACTTGCTACTGAGGAGAACATGGGACTTGTGGTGGAGTTCAAGTCGACCCACAATCTTCCCTTGCCCATGTCTGCTGTTGCTATAGTGAATGCATACAATGAAGCCTATCGTTTGGTGACTCAGGAGAAATGGGGCCGAACCACTGCTTGGTCTCGTATTTGCCATCCAATTGGGCAGCTGCTTAATTACATGGTCGAAAATGGACGACGCTTTGGGGTTTTGTCATCGGGCACTAGGGCCAATTTCCTCCAAATTCAAGGACATGGTGGTGATGCTGTGATCTCGATCAGTGATGCTTTCTTGGTTGGCCAACGAAACTTTCTGCGGGCTTGGGCTTTTGCTCACTCGTTAGGTTGTGCTCAGGCAGACAAACTTGCTTCCAAATCCCTTGGATGGAAATCATCCAACGGTGAACATCCAACACCTCCAGCTAAGAGAACCTATCAGGGAGACCTACCTAATAAAACAATCGAGGAAGGTGATGAGGATGACGTGGGTATGAAACCTACAGACAAGCCTTCTGCAAATACTGCCTCTAATGGATTGGAGGAGGTGCCGTTTGAAGACGTTGAAAGAATCCTTGGTGTTCTTGGGTATGGACACAATGGAGTTGTGCGTGTGGCAAAGTGGCATGGAAAGGAGGTTGCCCTCAAGCAGTTTGATATCGGAAAAGATGGGTATGGTTACTACAACAACGAAATCAAGGGATACATGGCAGTGGAAGGTGCCTGGGGTGAGCTAGTGACAAGGCCTCTGTTTGTGTCAGATTCGTGGTCCGGTTCAGTCAAGTTTATTGGCTTACAGTTGGGACAAAATCCTGCTCCAGGAGATGACAATTCGGGTTGGAGCAGCGTTTTGACTTCTTTGGAAGGACAGTTTGGCTTTCGTCACGAGGATGCAGATGATGGCAACATGGTTTTTGTGGTGGACGAGGTAACTGGACGGGAGAAACTTGTTGCGATTGATCTTGAGGCTCATACTATGGTCGCAGGGGTACACTAGCTGGCATCATCGTGTTTGCTGCCTTAAGAGGATAGATTGGGGATGAAGTAGGTCCCTTGGTAGCAGATGCCGACTTGCCACACCTTTGGCACTCGCAATGATCCGGGCGTGACCCGACGTGAGGCAACACGGAGACCATGAGACGGGTGAAGATGAGACGGGCAAAGATGAGGCGGAGGATATATAAAGTAGATCCTGTAGTTAAATCTGAAGTGAGCTACAGCAGCATTAGGAGTGTCTTTCGGTGGTTTTCTGGCTAGTAGCATGCTGTTGGGGTTCTCCCATTCCTTTACAATCTCCGCTTTCATGATGTAGGCCTGGGTGATGCGCGTGAGGGGTGGGTTTGGAATATCCTCTACCAGGTTGTTCATTGCCTTTTCTGCCTGTAACATGAGTTGGCGTTGCCATCCAGCCAGATCACTTGGGTCTACTGGAGGAGGACTTGGGTAGTTGTCACAGAAATACAGCATGGCTTTGATGGTCTTCTTCAGGGTCCGGTACTGACCTTTGATGGCAGTCTTCTCGCTAGTGCACTACGCTAAAAGCTAGTGTTAAGATCTTTCGAGTTTGTTGTTGAGAGAATGTAGATTATGAGAGAGATTAGAAAGCTGTGAAAACGTGTCGAGCAGCAGCACGCCTGGGGAACCCCCCGTCCGAGTTTCCACGCCCCGCAGCGTGGAAACTTGAACCCTGATGGGTTCTCGCAACTATGACCCTAATCATGGTTGCCGAGAGGACCATCTCACAATTTGCAAAATCAATTCCCACGCTCCTCACCTACAACTCAAGTACATCTCTACATCTCGCAGGTCATCACCTGCGTTCCGGAAATGGATACCCCACATGATGATGCACCGCATCAGCTCCTCAATGCCTCTCGAACAAGATTACCCTTAAGGCAACGACGCCCGTCCAAGACCACATTTGGCAAGATCAACAGCGGCAACCATGAATCACTAAAGCCAGCGACCTCGCCAAGACCAGCCATTGAACTGCCGATCGCAAGAAGGTTGTCTCTCTCTCAGCTCACAATTCTTCATTCAGCCGACGCTGAAGGCAAGAACCTAGATTAGATTAATCTCTTGCGCCGGCATCAGGTTTCGTATCTTTTCGACCCTCACCATGGCCAGCTCTAATTTTTCGGATCTCGTCTCTCGTGCAGCGGCATGGGAGGTACATGCTCCAAACTACACTGATATCCTCACTGCTGTGGGTGGCGCCTCGAATGCAAATCGTGATGTTGCCTCTCGCGCTATGAGCCAATTTTGCCTTCGTTCGCCTGTCACCTTTGGCTTCGTCCTCCAAAATGATGAAACGAATATCTACATTGGACACTCACTCTACGCCTACCCCGTGAATCCGAGCCAGGCCTCTCCTTACGACAATCTCTACGCTATCGTGGTGGGGAACGATCTTCGAGCGCTATCACGGTGGTCCTTCCCATGTCTGCCTTCGAGCGCACGGCTGACGTAACCTGCCACAACATGACAATTATTGACGGAGGAACCATGTTTGCTGCCGCTCCGGCTCCTGTGCTACACAGTGGCCCCCACGGCGGTGGTGTCGCGGACACTGATGTCTTCCGGGTCCGTCGCGTGATGCCTCTTCCGTCCTATCTTTCTGAAGCCGTCCTTGTGGCCCGTCCCGAAGGACAGTACAGTCTTCCCCAGTTCCGTGCGGAAGTTCTCACCCCCGAGATGACTCACGCGGATCCTGCGCGACAGGCTGCCATCGCCCCTTTGGTCCAATGGTTCCGCGCCTGTTGTACGTTGGTCGCGGGAGGTCACACGTCCACTAGTAATGCCGCCGCCAACGTGGCCGCGCCCATTAGCGCAAACGCGCTCCAACGAAGCACCAACCGGGTGCTCTCCCCCTACCTAGCGGCGCTTGGCGCGGTAGGTCCGGGCCTGACCAACGCAACCTTCAACGCGGGAATCACGAACCTGCGTGATACGCTGGAGGCCACTGTTGAACAACAACTCCAGTACGACCGTGAGAAGAGCAACAAAACCTTCACGGATAAATTCGGGGCTGCCCAGCCACTCGCGTCCACAACCTCTGTAACGTGGCCGATGACGCAAACCTTCCCGTCATTCACCGTCTGCTCGCGAAGTCCCCCAAAGGGAATGAACACGGGATCTTGCAAGCTCAACTAGACGAACGCACTCAGGCATCGGCACTGCCCATTAACCTCGCGAACAAACCCTCGGTCACTGGACACAGTCTGGATTGTGTCTTCCGCAAGTACTTCGTGAACGGTCAAGGGACCACCTTGGGCGAAGGCCTCTCCCCCTTCTCGGTGGTGTGCCAAGGCCATTCGGAAGCCAAGGCAGTCCAGGACTTAGCAGCTCGAGCGGAGTACGTTGAGAAGGGAGTCACCTTGGAAGATGCCATCGCCATCACTTCCACCGACGTCAAGTTTCCCACCGATGGTTGCATTGTGGAGGAAAAGCTCTATGGGTTCTCCATCATGATAGATGTCTTCCATGGAGGAAACCATCCGGTCTCGCGCTCGGTGCGTGATGTGGCCCTCTCGCTGGGATCCTACCTCCACACCATCCATGGCCTACACGCTGACAACCGGAGTGTGGCGGTGGACTTGTGCGGTCGCATCCTTTTCGAGGTCCAACAAGATTACTTCTTGTGGGTCAACGAAGCTATCCTAAATCCGGGCGCTGCTGCCCCCAACTTTGGTGCGCTGACTAGACTCGTTCAGTCCTCCCGTGCCTCGTCTCTCCCTGAGCTCCCTGCTCACTGGTACTCGTTCTTCAAGCCCGCTCCCGAGCCGCCTAGCAAGAAGCCTGCCGGAGCAAACCAACAGCGAGCGGGAGCACACCCGGTTACCAACGTCCACGGTGATGAGGACCTCTTGAAGCGTTTCCAGGACTCGTGCAATACACGGCTCTTAGCCAATGCAACACACGGCTCCTAGCCTTATTCGCGACTCGATCCTAGATAGGGTCTGAGTTCGACTCATGACGTAGTCCTTCGCGAATAGTCATTGGAGACAGAATTCTCAATGACCGCTCTAGTCATACTAGGTTGATGATGAAACATCGCTCTAGATATTTAGCCAACGTGGAGTACTTCCACGCTACTAGATAAATGCTAGACGAATCTTCCACGCGTTCCATTTTTGGATCGTGGAGCGAGTAGGATTGCTACCGCAACCTACTCTATCTCACTCTACAGTCTCCCGCGGAGTTCAGATCTACGATCCTTTGATTGTGGATCTCTCTCGTTGATTAGTTTTCATAGCTTTCTAATCCTCTCAAAACTTTCATTCTCTCAAACTCAAAACTCGAAAGATCTTTACACTAGCTTTTAGCGTAGTGCATTTTGTTAACAAACACAATAGCTTTCAGCTACCCTCAACCTATTCCTAACCATGAAGATTGCCAAAGACGCATCACACCAGCTTCGAGTCTAACTGCGTGACAAACCAATCCTTCCTCTCATCGACCTCGATGATGAATGGAAATCGACGATTCTCGCTCTACCACCTACAAACTTCGCACTATTCCAGCAGATCTAACAGCCAAAGTACAACCTTCAAGTCCAAATCACATGGACTGAGACTCCACCAGACCATCAAGTGGGCTGGACATGGAGAAGGTCTTCGTCGGCTCGCCATTGCAACGCCTGACGACAAACATAACCTCCTCAGGGAGATGACTTCTACTCTGCAAAGAGCAGTTACGAATCTAGCTGTGCAGGCAATCGGAAATACGTTGGAATGCCTGCGCCAGATTGCAGTCAACGCGATTCTTCCACGCGATATACGTGGCGGTGAAGACGAAGCCACTTTCCAAGCACGTTTCCAGGCTGCCTGAACGGAGCAGCTCAGCCTGCTTGGACGACGCTGACATTACGTTTGGCATAAATGCCTGTATCGAAGCGGTCTGTCCCTAACAAGGCGCTTGAAAAGCAGAAACGCTTCAGCGCCGCAAGATGCGTAAGCCTGCCGATATGTCTACTGGGCTTATGTCAACAACCTCATTCGATGAACCCGATGAACTTCCTCGTCTACCACCTTTTGGACCCAACCAAACGTTGAACCATGACGAAGTCATGACATTGTTTGTCATGGAATTCCACGCCGTGGATGAAGAAGAGGACGAACACGACTTCGATCCTTTCTCAGCTCCTATCGGAGAAACATTGGATTCTGCGAACGCATGGAATCCTCCGAAGACTTTGACAAGGGCGGATTCCAAGCAAGCTCCTACGAAGAAGAACAACAGCAAGAAGTACAAGTCTACTCGCAACAAGAAAACTCTTCCAAGAACGAAGAAAAATGGTGTGACTACCACGAGTCCAGCATCACAACACTGCGACTGCATGACCAAGAAGCTCAAAGCCAAGTCTCAGTCTTCGTCTGACAACGATAACAAGCAGCGTACAACAAGAACAAGACTTGGAAACGAAGTCGACAGCCAAGCCTACACAAAAAAGGAACTCTCTGTCCTCATGAAAAAGGTTTCCAACGCTGCGGTCAAGGCTGATCGAAGAAGAAAGCGAATGCAACCATGTGCCAAGCGCAAGTCTGACAACTCCGACAACGAGGACGATCCTCTGTTGGATCAATCAACATGATGGACAAGAAATGGCTGCTGTCGACAAGGCGCTTGCCGAATTCGACTTCAATCATCGGATGGAGAGATCTCCGTCTGAGGATTAGGCAGGATGATGATTCAAGGAACCATGTTCCGATTTTAATACCTAAGTGATGAAGATATCTCACTAAAAGTAAACAAGATTTGTTTGCAATAACGAAGTCTACGGCAAATAGATAATTGCCTAGTAACATACTCAACTAGACCCTGACGATCTGTTCAGCATCGTTAACTTTCGTCCATGGCCAATCAACTCATCAACGTCGCAAGACAAGAGACCTCAAAACTATCGTCTATGTTAGATTTAACAGACGAGAGAAAGGGAAACAAAAACCCGTTACACTCTGTTGCTTACTGGATACAGGAGCATCCGGAACTTTAAGT